AAAGTCCATTTTTCCTTCTCAAAACACGTCTTAAATACTCTCAGGTCCAACACAACAATAGAAAAATACCCAAAATACCCTTAGGGATCACACATGTCACAAAAACAAGAAAATTAGAAGATGAAGTGCTTTAGCTAACACGGGCTGTGTCAGCTGACACATGCGGCCGTGTTGGCCCCTTGGATATCTGATGAAAACACGATCTGCTCCAGACTTGCTGACACGGGCCGTGCCAGCCCACTGCTTTTCTACAATTTCATCTCTTGGCATCCTCCTAACACGGGTCGTGTCAGGTGATATGGGTGGTTGTGTCAGGCCACTGTATCCCTTCAAAAACTCTTCTGAATTCCTGTTGTTTTTCCCGGTTTTTGCTCTGGTTCTTCTTGATTGCTTATCTGAACTTAAAAATAATGGAAATACCAAACCAATGCATAAAATGTGATAAAAGGAAATAACATGTAACTAAACATATAAGACGATTAACTAAAACTAATGGTAAAATAACGTATAAAAACCACTGATCACTTAATTCTTGGAATAGTAATGACAAATAAAGACTTTAAAGCATGCACTTTACAAACCTTAATGATTCTTATTACTTGATTACTTTTCCTCTTGGAAACTAATCAAATAATGATGACCTAAATTGCATTAATTTGTGGAAATTATTTTTCCTTTCTTTCTTTTCTTCTTTTATTCTTTTTTATGTGACAAAAGAGGGATAAATAACAGTAAGTATTTAAGTGGAAACTGAACTCATTGAGTACCTATTCAGTTGTACATATTGATCATTTATTTTCTTGTCATTTACTTTTCTGGTTTTATGGTTACCTTGCCCAAGGCGTATTTTAACTTTCTTGTACATAGGTCTAAGGAAAAGCTTACAAACTTCAGACTTAGCCTATCAGATCTAGAAGAAGTTTGTAAACCTCGTATTCTGGTGTTGCCAAAGAAAGTTAAAAAGACAACATATTTTAACTCTCTTGTACATAGTATTAAGTAAGAGCTTACAAACCTCTGACTTAGCCTATTTAGACTCAGAAGGAGCTTATAAACCTCGTATTCTGATATTGCCAAAGGAAGTTAAAATATTGTTATTTTGGTTTTCTTAAATATGGAACTAATGGGGAACTTACAAACCTCAACCTTGGAACTGTTTGACTAACGGGGAGCTTGCAAACCTCGGACCTTGATGTTACTAAAAAGACTGGTTTTTTTTTTTGAAATATAGTTCTTGGTGTTAGAGTCAATAGAATTCAACTGTGGACTATCAGACTCATGGGGAGCTTACAAATCGCATACCCTGTTGTTGTAGAGAAAATTAAATGCCCAACATGGTCCTTTAAATACTTGTGTTTGTCATCATCAAAAAGGGGGAGATTGTTAGAATAAGATTTTTTTCATGATATATTCTCTTTTAGTTTTGATGATAACAATATTATTGAAAGAACAATGGTTTATTTGATGTGTGTTATATTTATACAGGTTCTTGTACATAAAATCAGAATCTGTTTTACTTAGACACACTTGGGAGTTGCCTCATTGCTAGCTTCTGGTGGCAGAGTCTGGAGAATATTTTGCAAGTGTGGCTTGGCAAGACTCTAAGCTGAAGGCCTTAACATTCAGACGAGTTACTACACTTGGTAATTGTATATCAGCATCTAATATCATTCAGAGTTTGTGATAAATTTGTGGTTGTCCGTAGTGCAGAAAGCAAGTTGTATTGTCTTATCAGCTTGTCAGCTAGAGTCTACAAGATTTCAAGGCTCAAGAAATATTGGCATGCTCTACGGATATCGGCTCTCAACGACTCTATCAATACAGAACCTCTTGAAGACTTAAAGGTTAAACACGTTACACACTGGATTCAGAATCGGTTGTGTATCAATGTTCAACGGCTCTTGTACTATGGGGTAAAGGCAAAGACACTTGATCAAGTTACCTCTTTCAACGACTAGTTTCTGCAAAGGCTATAAATATGGTTGTAGATTCAAGTTTGAATCTTAAAAAGGATTCTCTAGACGAAGGAGTAGCAAGATCAAGCAATTATCAACTCTATTATAATATGCAAATTTTCTATTGTAGGTTTTAATTGTAAAAGCCTTAAGATTTCTTTTCATTGATTATATTAGAAATCTTAAGAACTTTAGGTCTTTGTTATGGTGATTTTCCGTACCCCTGATGCTTGTATCATGTACACCTTGTTCTCTATTCTGCTGAGTTTTCAGTAGTTTAGGTCAAGTCTCTTGCTATGCGCTTGAGGAAAAGTCTTGTCTCATTAGGATTCAAGCAACAAGTCTTGAGCCCAGATGCTTAAGTCACGTAAGTCTCGTTGCTTAAGTGCTTAAGTTATGAAAGTCTTATTCAGTTAGTCTAATTGAGTAAGGGAAAGTCTCCGTCTGAGGGGCGTGAGTAGGAAGTCTCAAGTGTTGCTTGAGTAAGGAAGTCTCAGTCTGGATGGGCAGAAGAGTAGGAGGCTTGGTCAGAGGATGTGAGCAGAAGTCTTAGACATGTTCTCTAATCAAGGGTAAGTCTCAACTAGAGGACCTTTGGAGCAATTGGCTCGGCCAGAGGGTGTGAGTAAGGAAAGTCTTAGACATGTGCTTTAAGTAAGAAAGTCTCAGACAGTTGGTTTGAGCAAGTGTAAAAGACTTATGCAAAAGTATAAACGATTGTAATCATGAAGTAGTTATAATGAAAATTTCTTGTGAGGCAAGTGGATTGGAGTACTCTCAGTTAGGGAAGGAACTATGATAAATCTTTTGCGTCTTTTGCTGTTATTTGTTTACTTCTGTTATATCTGCTGCCAATGAATTAAAATAGAATCTGAACACCAGTTCTGATTCTGAAACTCTGATTAGAAGTTAAATTAAAGAAAACGCGAAACACAATTCAACACTATCACCAATATAACCATGATCCAAGTTAAGTAGCTTATGTGGAACTTCTATAGCTAACTCTAAATCACCATGGAGGCTACATGCCCCAAGCAAGCTTCCCTAGATTACCGCATTTGGATCTACCAGCATCTCCATAATAAAGTCGTAAGCATCTCTCAGGTGCCCGCCACGACATAAGAGATTCGCCATGCAGCCATAGTGAGGCTCTCTTGGTTATATACCATACTCTTCTGTCATACTTTTGAGATGACATTTCCCTTCCTCAACCAATCATGCATGGCTGCAAGCCATTAAAACTCCAATGAACGTTACGTCGTTTGGAGATACAGTAAAATTAGATGAACTCGATTTTGTCATATTCCTCTGTGTTCATTTGGGAGAAAAGCTGAAGAGCTTCATGTGCTTAACCATATGGTGCATGCCCACCAATCATAGAAGTCCAAGTTGTGACATCTTTGTTTCTTGTGCTATCAAACAACTCTCTTGCATTTACAATATCACCAATTTAGCATACATATTTATGAGAACATTATTCAAACACAGATCTATCTTCAGCCCTTGTTTACGCCGAACGAAATCATGAATCCATTCACCCATTTCAAGTCCCCTGGTATCAGCACAAGCCGAGAGAGCAACTGTCACAACGACTTGATCTGGTTCCACATCGTTCATCAGCATCCGTCTAAACTGTTCCAAACCTTTGTTGGGTTGGTGATTTCCAACATAATCAAAAATCAATGATGTCCAACAAATAATATTCTTTGAGGGTATTTGCTCAAACACTTGTGCGCATCAAATAAGTTTCCGCCTTCAGCATACACTTTCAAAAGGAATGTTTGGAGTTAAATTATGGATTCAGATCCAAGTTTCATAATGAGGGCATGAAATTGTTTTCCTTGGATAGAGGAATGTTTATTGTTGATACAGGCTTTAAGGGCAAACAGGCAAGAAAAACTATCAATGGAGTTGAAAGTGGGTTGTTGCATTCAAGGTATTTCTTAAGGGTTTGGTTTGTTTGTTTAAGGTTATTACTGTGAGACTGAGATTTGTTATGACACATGGATATGGGAACATAAACCAATTTTCTCTCACTCCTTTGAAGCAGAGAATTGAAACGTTGCAAGTGTGTCATGAATGTCACACATTCAAGTTCAACAACGTTACTATATGGTTATTTGTTAATTAACACCTCAACATATCGACATGGGTTAGGATTGTTGACAATATAAACCAAAGTATTTTCATTGACTTAAAGTGGAATCGGAATCCACTACAATGGAGCCAAATTGAATTTTACATATGGAAAAAGTTCAATCTTTTTGCCTTCTAAGAATAAATCAACAAATTGAAGTATAATTAATCATATACAGTGTAACTTCTAAACATGTAGCGTCACACTTTTGGGAATTCATTGCATAAAGGCTTGTATATTGGAGCTTCAAAAGTTCATGTTATTATTATTATCATCATTATTTATTTTTTTACTTAGAAGCTTAAAAATAAAGTCTTTTTTTTTTTACAGGAAAAATAAAGTAAGTCTTACAACTACATATATTGGAAGTCAATACTTATTTAAAAGTTTTTATAGCAAAACAAAGCCAATAAGCTGGTTGTTAATACAAGTCAATAGTAAAGGACTCATATGAGATCACTTCGAGTTTTACTTAAGTGTGTGTTTAGTTCAAAGAAGACTGAAATGGTGCTCCATGGATTTACTCTTGTCCGAATATATCAGTTCTCCGCTGTCCTCACTTCCCAAGTCAATGGAAAGAAAGCCTCAACAATCCAATGCCAGTAGTAGTTTCCCGCGTCTAAAAGCTGAAAAAGTGGGAATCCAACTATTAAATGCTTGATTGCCAAATATGCAAGACACAAGCAAACGAATAACTGGAGTGAAAACTCAATGGTATGTTAAGATATTCTTGTGCTATATCTATCAAGCACCAGCAGCATTTGTGATTTTACCAACTTGATCAGATTCATTTGTCATTGTATTCCAACTCAAGCAGCCTCCTTAGTCACCTTGATGTCAAAGAGGTCCAATTTGCATCCACTAAAAATAATCAAAATATATACTGAATGCTTTATTCTGTTAATTGCTCAGAACACATTCGAGTTGGTTTCAGATCTCAATTCTCTATAGCCCGTAGACAATGCACGACATGCGGAAGTATTTCTCAGAACACCCATCTTCAGCATGTCTGCATGCAACATCATTACATCAACCATGTGCTTGAATCGAAAATGTGCCTCCAACATGATAACATAAAGAACCAGGTCTGGTTTGAAACCGCTACATCTCATTTCTTTGAAAAACTTGGTGGCCTTGAAAATATGTCCATCTTTACATAAACCTTGAATTAAAACAGCATACATAACATCATTCGGAGAACACGACCCACTATGATCCATTTTACCTCCAGCGAAACCAACTCCAGTTTTCTCCAAGAAAAGTCTGATTGCAGCGTAAGTCCTTCCATCTTTCAAAAGGCCGTCAATCAAAGAAGTAATTGTGACCACATTTGGTGTTAGTCCTGCGTTCTGCATCTCCTTATGGAGTTCGAAAGCTACTTTGCTATTCCCATCCTTGCAATGTCCATCAATCAAAGTCGTGTAAGTCACCACATCAGGCACGAGACCTTTGATAACCATTTCTGCATATAACCCCATAGCAGCTTTTATGTTACCATTCTTGCAAAACCCGTCAATCAATGTAGAAAATATGATCTCATTGAGTTCTACCTTCCTCTCAGTCATTTGTGAACAAACCTCAAAAGCCTTCTTCATATCCCCCATTTTGCAGTATCCATCAATCAACACATTGTAAGTCACAGCATTAGCAAAAACCCCTGCTTTACTCATCTCCTCCATCAAAACCTTAGATTCTTCAAACTTACCCGAGTCACATAAACCCTTAACAAGTATACTGCACGTAAAATCATCCCAGAAAACACCATTCCGTTTCATTTCATCTCGCAATCGCATCACTTCAACCAAATCCCCTGCCTTACAGTAACCATCAATCAAACAATTATAAACATGTGAATTAGGAAAAACACCAAACTTATCCATATAAACAAAGCAGTTTCGTGCAGTCTTCAAATCACCCGCCTTGCACAAAACATCCACTAAATTTGCAAAAGTCACAACATCAGGATGCAAACCATGCCATAGCATATCACTATACAATTCAAAAACACGTTTAACATTACCCATTTTGCAATACCCATCAAAGAGAGTAACATAAGTATACAAATTAGGATCGACCCCACTTTCTCTCATCAACTTAAAAACCCTCTCAGCTTCTTCCATTTCACCCTCATTACAAAAAACACGAATGAGAATAGTGTTAACCACCACATTAGGTTCAATTCTTCTTTGAAGCATTTCATCAAACACTTTACGGGCATTGCTCAAATCACCCTGGTTGCAGCAACAATTCAATAGAATCCCATAGGTGATGACAGTAGGTGAAAACCCGCGGGACTCCATGGTATTATAGACCTCCCACATGGAATCAAACTTCTCCGTCTTGACTAACGAATGAAGAAGCGCGTTGCAGGCGCGTAAGGGAGGTAAATTACGGTTTAGGCTGTTGAAAACCCATTGGGCTTCTTGGATAAGGGATAGTTGGCATAGTGCGAGTATGAGAACTTCAAATGAGCGGGGAGTGGTGGTGTGGTTGGAATTGAGCGCGTGGAAGAGAGAAACATGTGTTTGTGGGTTTGTTTGAGTTTTGAAGATGTTGTTTGGTGAGCGATGTGGCTTTTGTGATGTTGGTATTGTTTTTGGGGTTTGTTAGGATTTGGAGGATGGTGTTTGTGTTTGTGTTTTTGATGTTGGTGTTGTTTTTGGTGTTTGTGTTAGTATTTTTGATAGAGTTTGAAGAGAAATAGAGGGAAGAGAAAGTGGAAGTGATGGGAATGTTTTTGCGACTGATGAGGTTTAACATTATCGACGAACTAGTGTCGTGGCTTAGATTTAACAGGAGAAAAATGTCACCGGAGACAACCTTCTTCCGTGTTATGGAGTCAGTGGCTTTTGATTGTGAAGTGTTGTTTTCTTCATCAATAACTTTGGGTGAAGAAAATGGTCGGGTACCAAACGATGTCGTCTCATGGGATAGCGGTGGCCTTGTTCAACAGAGACGCCATTGCTGACGGCTGAGCATGTAAGCTAAACTTCCATTGTTGTTCTGGGCAAATATTAGGATATAAAATCCAACTGATCCAATAGAAAACTGTGAACTAAATCAAATTAAAAATTGTAAAAAAAAATTAATTTGAATGTGTTTGATTATTTTTTTAATAGAATTATGCGGTTAGGTTTAATCTGTACTTTGTATTTTACAAATTAAATTCAATCAAAATATATATATTATAATATTTTATATACTATTATATACTTTCTTTTTTAAATTATAAATCATTTTTTTTAAAATTGTTCTAAATTATATGATTTTTTACACTAATGATAACTTATCTCCTAAGGGCACAAATTAAAAAATCTATTTGTAAAAAATTTGTATTGGAAACAACAATTAAAAAATTATTTATATTCTTTTATTAAAATTGTTGCACAATTCTCAACTTAATATTTTTTTATTTATGGCACAAGTTAGCATTACCTTTTTTTAATATAATTTCTATTATTTATTATTTATTTTTTAATTTTTTTTAATTTTTTTTATTTATAATAAATAAAGGACAATATTATAAAATCATCAATAAATTTTTTTTCTTATACAACAATAATTATATTTCTTAATTTATGTAAAAGGTTGAAAACTTTTTATAATTTGGGATAGAGAAAGTATATAATTAATTATTTAGAGAAAACATTTAGTATCCGGTCGGTAAAAGCAATCAAAAGTGACACTAATTCTTGGTCACAATTACTATAAGCAAAATTAATCAAGTTTCAAACTAATTAATGTTTGTATTAATAATATATTCCTAATTTAATTTAATAGCATTTAATGTTAGTAATTGATTTATCAAATTTAACTAATATTAATGTTATAAGCGTAGTGGAAGCATTAGTTTAATGAAGAAGAAAAAAAATCAGTACATTGAATAACACAAAACTATATACAAAGTAGTGAATACTACAAAATTCAACTAACACAATTAAGGGCCTAGACCAACAAAATAACAAAATAGACCCAATATAAAAGGAGTAGGCCCAATATATTTGACACACCCTCTCAAGTTGGACTATGTACAGTATGAAGTCGCAACTTGGACATAATAGAAATCAATGCAGGTTGGTGAAGGGGCTTGGTAAACATGTTTGCCAATTGATTGCTATTGGAAATAGGGAGAAGATGAATTAGCTTGGAGTTGATTTTCTCGCAAGTGACATGTCAATCAAGCTCAATGTGTTTAGTCTTTTCATGAAAAGTGGGATCGTGAGTCAAATAGATGGTTGATTGATTATCACATTAAACCGAAGCAGGTGTGGAGAAGTTGATGTTTATATCTTTGAATAAGTTATGTAGCCATTGTAGTTCACAAGTCAAAGAAGCCAAAGACCTGTACTCTGCCTTAGTACATGATTGAGAAACAATATGTTGCTTATTTGATTTCCAACAAATCTATGAAGAACCAAGCAAAACACAAAAACCTGTAATAGATTTACTTATATCAAGGCATCTAACCCAGTCAGAATCAGTAAAAGCATGAAGTTTAAGGGCACTATCAGCAGGAAAAAAATCCAGTAGCAGGAGAAGATTTTAAGTATTGTAAGAGACGAATGACAACCTGATATTGAGGTAATAAGGGGTTGAAAATAAATTGGCTAAGATGTTGAACATCATAGGATATATTAGGTTTGCTGTTAGTCAAGTAAATCAACCTACCAATTAAACTAGGATAGGTTTTAAGATAAGAGATAGGTGTACCTTCTGAGATAGAAAGTTTAGTGGAATGGTCAAAGGGAGTGGAGGGTGGTTTAAAAGCAAGATGTCTTGTGTCTTGAAAGAGCTCAAGAGTGTAGTGTCTTTGATTGAAAATGATTTCTGCATTGATTTTGACAATCTAAAAACCTAAGCAATATCTTAGCTGGCCTAGGTCTTTGATTTTAAATGTGGTATTTAAAGCTTGTTTGATAAGGTTAATATAAGTGATGGAGTTGCCAGCTAAAACAATATTATCCACATAAACTAGTAAAATAATGAAGCTAGTGGCCGTGTGTTTAGTGTATAGTGAGTGATCAACTTCAGAAAATTTAAAACCAAGAGAAAGAAGAAAGGAAGATAGTTTGGAATACCATTGTCAACTTGCTTGTTTTAGACCATATATGGACCTTGTGCGACTTACAAACTTTGGAAGAAGATGAAGCAGAGTGACTAGAGGGAAGTGTCATATATACTTCTTCAAAGAGATTACCATAGAGAAAGGCATTGTTAATATCTAATTGAGTGAGATGCAAACCTTTGATTGCAGCTAGAGAGAGAAGTACTCTGATGGTGGTAATTTTTGCCATAGGAAAGAAGATATCAAAATAATCAATGTCTTCAAGTTGTGTATAGCCTTTAGCAACCAAACGTGCTTTGTATCTGTTAATACAACCAGCAGCATTATATTTGATTTTAGGCTTAAATGCACTTTTGATCCTCTTACTTTGATGATTTTTAGTTTTTAGTCCTCCATTTTAAATAACAGCTTTTTGATCCCTAAACTTTATATCACTTGGAAATTTTATGGTCCCCCTCCAGTTTTACATACGTGACAATGATAATTGAGACAAAAATATTATTTTTGATGAGTTGACACTATGATTATTTGTTATTTAATATATTTTAATTAATTAATTAATTATTTTATTTTATTGTTTTAGAATTTTTTTTAAAATTAGTTATTAATACAAATGTTAATATTTAAAAGAATAATTTTGGACTTTAAGTTAAGCCCAATTCTTCAACCCACAACTGTATTGGACATTATGTGTTTATTTGACGTATATAAACACTAATGTTTTCTTTAAAGATAACGACGTGGGACATGAAATACAATGAAATGCCTTCTTACCCACACCTATACTTGCATGAATCCTTCTGATTATGTACTTACATATTAAAACACTATTGAATAAATGGATTCAGTAGAGCATGTTATAGAGTGCACATTTGCAACTTTTCTTAGACCAGATAACTTTTAACATTTATTGCAAATAACCCGTGCATTCACAATTTCCATCACAGTTTTGCAAATTAATATTAGACAAATTAATATACACATTTAAAAGATAAAATATTTGTATTAATCGACATCAAGATGCATAATCAAAATACAATAAATAAATACATAAACTTATAATATAAATAATAAACCTTGTAAATAATCTATTGTGGGTGGCTTAGTTTCATGCTTCTCCTCCTCCTCCTGTATAAGAAGATATCTTTTGTTTTAACTAGGATTTGATGAACAAAGTATTATATCAGAGTTCCCTCAGGTAACTCTCCCTTATCTAGCACACCCAATGCTAAGTTTATTATCCAAAAACGTATAAGTAGTATAGATCAATAACATCATCTGCAAGTAACATTCCCTCTCCTGTTCAAGTTTATATAAAGGTATTTCCTTATCAGTGATAATGAGAGAATACCACATTTTAATCTAACATTAAACAAGTTAAACAAGCTTTGTTGTATGTGACTGTGTTAATCAGAAATTCCATCTTACCCACACATAAATAACGATTTCTTGTTTATGCAGTTAACTCTTCATCTCCATTCTTTTTCATGTTGTTGACGATTACCGACACATAAATAATGATTTCTTGTCTCAAGAATTTTGATTTCACTTCTTTATGCTCTCAAAAGAGCTTAATAGACACAACCAACATACTCGTTCTCTGTGTCTACTACACATCTTTGCTTATCACTTTAATCAGAAAAAAAAATCATCAAATGAAAGTCATAGAAAAAGCTGGATTTCTTTTGAAATGGCTAACTAAAATATAAGCAACTTAAATTTGAGGAACTGAAATGGCTAACTTACATTTTTCAGAGAAATAATTTAGATTTCTTTTTCTGTTTCTTTGATTGTGAGAAAAAGAAAAATGTTAGCTTCAATCAATTAAAACTAGCTTATTTGATTAGAAACTACTGCAGATTGGATACAAGTGCTCCCGTGGATCAAGGTTAAATCCATGAAAGAGTTAAATCCTCAAGATTGGAACGACTTATAAGATAGAAACTAAGTCAATCAAAGCTAATGAAAGCATATATGTGGGTAAGATGGCATTTCATTGTATTTTATGTCCCACATCGTTTTATTTAAAGAAAATGTTAGTGTTTATATATGTAAAATAATCATGATATACTACACTATTGTGGGCTGAAGAGATGAGTTTAGCTTGTAGTTCAAAATTATTGTTTTATATATTAAACTTTTCAAATGAATTTCTAAAAAAATAAAATAAAATAATTAATTAATTAAAAAATTTAAAAATATTAAATAATAAATAATTATAGACATTATTGCCAACTCATCAAAAACAATTTTTTGTCTCAATCATCACTGTCATGTCTGCAAAATTGGAGGGAGACCATCAAAATCCCAAATAATGTAAAGTTGAGGGACTAAAAAGCTGGTTTTTAAAATGGAGGGACTAAAAATTAAAAACATCAAAGTAGGAGGACCAAAAATGCATTTAACCTTGATTTTATATACCTATCTACACTCAATAGGGATTTTACCAGAAGGAAGGTCAAAAAGAGACTAAGTGTTGTTATCAACAAGAGCCTATAACTCAAAACTCATGGCTTGTTTCCAACAGTCAAGTTTATTGGCTTATAGGAAAGTTTTAGGCTCGTGGTTAGAGAAAATAGAGCAGCATAAAGATTTATATGAGGTGGAACGGTTGTTATAGGATAGGACATAAGAAAGATGGTAAGTAATGATGGGAGGGGAAGAAAGAGGTGATAATGTTGAAGTTTGTATACAA